ACTCTGCCACTGAGCTATACCCTCCCCTCTACAGAAGATTCTTACCAAGGTAACATGACCACCAGAATGACTATTCCACCATCTTTGCTGTATGATGTAACCTAATCAAGGGGACAAGTATCTCGTCATATTCGCAGGTCCCACCCATACTGGAGGGGAGGGGACTACACAGTCCAAGTACACCAGGGAGAGGGGCTCTTGGGTGCCCCTGTGGAATTCTGCCCCCCATGAACACTGAATTCTTCAACACTGAGGCAGCGTTTGTTGGGTGTTTACTATACCCAGCACCATGCTGCAACTGGGGGTACAGAGCTGAATATAGTAAATCAGGAAGACAAAGACAGATAAGGAAGCCCATGGACTAACGGAGAACAGAACTGAAAATTAATTCTAAAAGAAGTTAGTATGTCTACAATAGCTGAGCGTGGAAATGACACAGAAGAGAGCCAAGGAAGCGAGTATAGCTCAATAGGTACTTTCTCGGCCAGCAGTAAAGAAGAGGGGATTCCGGCAGAAGGCATGTTATCTACCAGTGTGGAGAGGTGCTGAAGAGCCTGTCTGAGAGGCTGTGAGTAGAGGGGCTTGGTTGGAATGGAGGGGCCTGAATGGATGTCAAGGGCCAGCCCAGGAAGGACACAGAACTTAAGATTTCATCATGGGCTGGAACCACCAAAGCAATCTGTGAAGGGATATTAATAAATCAAGATCACAGAGGCCAACTCGGACCAAGAGAAAAAAAATGACTCCATAAAAATAATTCAAAAACTTCAGCATAAATAAGCGCAAGTGAAAAGCAAAGGCCTCATACAAATTGGTAACAAAAGGTCAATATCCAATAGAAAATGAGCAAAAGACAAGAAAAAGCAATTAACATAAGAAATACAAAAGGCTGACAAACAGAGAAAAGTGCTTAACATCACTTGTGATTAAGAAATGTTAAAATCGTGAAATCACCATTTTTGCTATGAAGTTGTTAGGACAACAGATGTAAAAAACATGCATACAGTCTCAGAATACTGAAGGACAAAACACCACAAGTTACGTGAGTATAGAAGTTTTACTGATAATTTTTGTTTTCTTCTTTATACTGTTTTCTCAATTTCCCCAATGAACCTGTGTAATTTCTTAAAATAGGGACTAACATACTCATTGAAGAAACAGAGCGTCTAAGGCAGAACAGCAGCGCCTGTCCAGCCAGCTCAGCCCAGGGGCAACTGCTTTCAGCTCTCCTGGTCAGTGCTGCTGGTGCTTGCCCCCACACTTCTAAGTAACGAGCACACACTGTTACCCCTGCGCTTGCCATTACCAGCTATCTCGACTGCCTGTAATACAAAGTTCTAGATTCACCACGGGTGGTCAGGGCTAATTAGCTGGGCAAGCATTCGTCTCATATTGCTTCTCTGACGTACAGAAGGGCATTGCACATGTCTGTTCACACTGAGCTGCATTCCACAAAGGACTGGAGAAGAGATACGCTGGTAGCAACAGGCAGGGGCACTCCAGTCAGCGCTAACCTATCCACACAAAACCACGGAAGTAAACCGTCTGGGTGGTGCGGCCCGCTGCAGCATCTGGCATACAGATGGCCAGGGTAGAGGACCTGTGACTCGTAATCAAGGTTTCAGATTTGACGTGAGACAACCCCCTCCAAAGGCCTGGGGCTTCTGACTAGCAGAATGAAAGCGAGATGATAACTATCAAAATACAATCTTCCGTCAGCTTTTTTAAAAATAAGGCATCCATCTGAGTCACTGACTTAGGGATGAGACAAAATACGAAACTCTTCTGGTAAACCAAAGAATCCAAATGTTCTACACCTTTGAAGTTGTACGTGCCTCTTTGAATACGGTGACCTCCTGTGCGCAGGAATACACAGTGTTTTAAGATAACGGTTACAGTCCACAGTCTATAACATCTCAGTTTATAAATTCAGATTTTTCCAAGGGGCTACTTAAAGACAAGCCTGCAGAGACACTTTCCTAGTTTTTCTCCTTATGCAT